ATGCAGGATAAATAGTAATAATGGATAGTTTCCTTTATGTGAATCCAGACAATGGGTAAGTTGTCTGATACCAAAGTACAGCTCAAGCTATACAACTTATTTCTAGTGCATTTTAGAAATAAAAATGCCAAAGCATTTTCTCAAAAAACTTTTATAACAAACACTGGGTACCACATTTCTGGAGAATGTATGTACAAAAAACTTGCGAGTTAAAAACTTTACAGCTTTTTGACTTGCCTGACATTTTCCCCTCCAAGACTCTCTAGTCTCTCCATTACTACAAAAGAAAAGCAAAATCTTCTTTCCAAGAAAATCTGTATTAACGGTAATGCCTTCTTCAATTCACTTTCCACACAGACACTTAAATCAACTTTTTTTTCCTGAGTAACTGAAATTAATTTAATAAAATATCATTTTATTTCTCTTCAAATTTCCCATACACAACAACAAAAAGACACTACCAGTATAAAAATACATTAAATTAATATTTCATTTTAGTACCATATACTGGCATTAGCTCTATTAACAGAATCTATCACATTTATTTGACTTAGAGAATCTAAGCGCATCATGACAAAAATGGACTGAAAGCAGGGCTCTAAAATCTACTGTCATGTGTTCTGTCATCCCTATAAAGTTAATGGGCTGGAAAAATGGTCAGTCTTTGGAACCAAAGTTGATATTTAATTGAAAGGAAATGCTTTTTTAATTGTAACTTCTTCAGTTTTATTTTTAAATACTAGCATGAATATGAAAAAGACTCATGCAGGGTAAAATGAGAGTTCATATTGATACAAATTTGAGATGAATAAAAATGATTATTTCCATGTGCCATAAAGGAAATTATATCGAAAGATATATATTTTTTCTTAAAGCTTTATTTTGAATTTTGCTAGAAATAAGAACTTAGAGCAATAAAATGTATGATGACTGAGCAATAAGGCTTAAATTGCTATTCTTAAGAAATAGCAGCAAAAGTCCTCTAAATAATCTTAATGATAAATAATAATATATCAATCAGAACTAATATATTAAAATGAAGAAATATGAAATTAGTTCTTCAAAGAATGAATATTCTTATTTTCTGTCCTTGTTTTAACAAATATTATTTTTCTTAGATAAGAAATCTTCAGCAAAGTTGCCTAATATTTGAAGGGCTCTTTTTGCTTAGAACATTTGAATCGGCTTCCTACCCAACAAAATGGCAGCTCACAACTATTCTGGATAGTGCAAATTTTCTATTAAGGCCGTGTACAAAGTCCACAGTAATATAGGAAGCATTTTTTTCCTTTAATTGGTCAGAAATTTTTAAAAAAAAAGTTAAAAAATTCCTTGTGGAAGTCTTCGTGTAATTCAGTTATACAGTTACTATGATGTCAAGTACTTGGGCCTTGCTGTGAAGGTGCTTCTGCTCTATACCCTGTAGTATACCATTTGTAAACACATCTTTTTGATGTTTCTGCCAACATCCTGGCAACAAAGCAATGCAATTTCAAATGAGCTAATTAACTTAATTGTTGATGAAGCATGAAACAGTTCATTGACCCTGTTAGCTGCTCCATGACAACATAAGAGTCTCAGCCTGTGAAGTTACTCATCTCCATAAACCTATCTGTAGCTCTCTGTTTAGGTCTCTTGCATTCTGAAATTGTGGGTGGAAAATGTTTCATGAAAGATGCATATTCTCATTTGAAAAAGAACCTCTTAGGAATTAAAAAATATATTATCACTGTATGAAGAAATTAAGGATATACAAAGTTTTGATTTTAAGTTAGAGACGTCTTTACAGTCTATCAAACAAACTTAGGGCCATCTATGTTTCTTTATGATTCTCAGGGCAGCAAGTCACAACATGGAAAAAATACAGCTATCTTAAAATTTCAGCTATGATTAACTTTCAGTTTTTTACTCTTAGTAAATAAATACATTAAACATTATTTAAAGTAAGAAATAAAAATTCTGCAATAAAAATAAGCCTTTAAAATGTGTCTTTTGTTTAAATGTGTGTCTCTATAAAACACACACACAGACATGCACACATATGACTTCTCACATAATCTTACTGGAAATTTTTATAGAAAGCTCGAAATTTAAGTGAATCCTACAAACATATCTTTCTATTATTAATGACACTATTATAGTACTTTTTATTATTCATTCAAAGACCTTTCATGAAATTTTCTCATGAAAAGTAAAGATGAAGAGTTAACCTTCTTAGCCTGAGTTTGCTAATCCACTCGTTGAAATACACAGAAAACATACAGAGTGCCTTAGGATGGACCTTTATTTTCTTTCTTCAGCTTTCTTTTGCTTATTTACAGCAAAACTGCCTAAAACTCCCATATAATCCACTCCCTCCGCTAAAAAAAAGTAAAAAACCTACTTTAAAAACTGTCCAAAATCTTCACAAATGCTTTCACAGCCTGGCCATTTGCAAACTCCATGGCCGTAGAGAGTGTGAGAGGCCCCAGTCTCCTCATGTGACGAGCTGTAGCAAAAGAACACGACGTCAGATTCATCTCAAAAAGCCATAATCGTTGCAGGCTGCTAGCGCCTGTCAGGTTACGATCAGTGACAAACAGGTCAAAACAGGTCAATTCAGCTCAGAGCAGTCAGAAAAATTTAATCGTTCTATTGAATAGTTCAACTGCCAAGGCTAGATGATGTTCCAATTAGAGGAGAAATAAAGCCAAAGATGACTGTTAATAAAGGACGAAAAACTAAGAGGACTGTATAATATCATATGCTAATCCTGCCACATGACCTTAATGTAACATTTACCTCTAAATAAAAATATATATTCATATGTGGTCAAGTAAAAAAAAAAAAAAAAAAACCTGTGTTTTTAAGAAAGTAATAGGAAAATCACCACAAGATTTTTGATATGCTCTTTTAGAGATAATATGGACCTTCAGAATCATTTACATTGTTTAATATTTATGTGTGAATCATATATATTTCTGCTAGTTACAGTTGATCAAAAAATTCTACTTTGGAATGGTATTCATTAGCTATCTCTTTTACAATTAGCCAAGACTTTTGATAAGTGAGTATTGTATCAGATAGATCCTAGAGATATCAACCAACTTCTGAAGTATATAATCATCAAATTACTCTCATTTAAAACAACAGCATGAAAGCATTCAAAAGCACACCATTTTACAATAATGAAATCTAACAAGAAAAAATTTTCATGATACTCCAAGAAAGACCAAAACATCACCAAATTATAGCATCATATTTTAACTGTACTGTATAAATGCATGTTTCTTTGAAAAAATACTTGTTTATGAGAAAAGAGTTTATTGCTGACAGGCAGGTATTCACATTACAGAACATTGTCAATCTACTACACTGAAATATGAATTTTATAACTCTACCTCATATGGCATTAAGCCACTCTGTAAAGAAGTCCTATACTTATGTTCCATCTTTTAAAAGGTATTTTTCACTGAGCAATATATTACCTTATATATTTTATGTAAATCACATTAAAGGATCTGATTAGGTTACCATATGCCTGCATAAATAGAGTTAAATGGATAAAAAGTATATGGGTGACCCTTTTACAAAGGTACTTTTTATACAACCAAAAACACTAAGTTGAAAAAAAATGATCTAATATAATGTACTTAGTGTCGGTAACTGAAATCTAAATTTTTCTTTAGGAATTTTGATGCAAATTTATCCAGGGCATTACCATAAGTTCATTTTAGTTATATATTTATAATTCTTCTTTCTTCTGGTTTATGATACCTGTGTTTGCATACTTATGTATATCTATTCTCTGATTTCTAAGCACATGGTTGTAACATATATTACGGGGGATATCTATATATGTACATATACATACATATATATATATTATGCATCTTTAATTATTTGAAACTCATTCTTAAGTTTTAAAATGGTAAGAAGATTCTCATTTCAGCAATCAGGTTAATCATAGCATCTTTTGACACAATAATTCTACATGCACTTATTATAAAATAACTTTCTTCAGGAAATTCCCCATTCTATCCATCATTCTATCATTCCCCATTCTATCCATCAAACTGCTGGCATTTGAGCTGTTTTTTTTTTTCTGATGAAATAATATATAAGATAATTTAAAAGTTTCTACCTATTTAATTTTCTGTCCTACACCTTCTGCCTCTGTTAAGTACAAATCATTATCTTTCATTTTACAAATAGTGAAAGTAAAATTTGGTGATAAGTAACAAAATATATGTCATGAAATTTACCTGTCTCGCCTTGCATTTAGAACTGAAGACTGTCCATTCACTATGGTATGATGGGTTATTGGTGGTGATGCTTTGGAAGTGGTGGAGGAGGTAGTCGAAGAGGAATTGTTAGTAGTGAGGTCTAGCCCTCCATGCTTAATGCCATTGTCTTCCATACTGTGAACTCCAGTCACTTCTTTCCATAACTGCTGAATTTCGGCAGGACTTAAGCCAGCTATAAAATGAAAGGAAGCCCCACTAATATAACAAAGTGAAGTTCATATAATGACCTTAGTATTATTACTGGATTGATGCAAACAACAAAAGTGATGTTACCGGAATAATTAATATATGATGATAAATCAGTTTTACATCATCAGCACTAAATTTTTTTCTCTTTAATAATCATTTATCTGTTAAAGACTACCAATTCAAGAACAGTATGAGAAATAATAGTATTGGGGCTAATATCAAGGATCAGTTGAAAAAACACAGCAAGTTCCATTTGAAAATTAAAGTATTGGACTTTCAACAGTATTAAAATTAAAATTATTGGACTTATATTTATTGCTAGTATCAGTGAGGAACTAAAAGACAAAGACACTTGGAAATAATACATATAAAAAGAAATTAAAAAAAGAAGGAGGGAAAACACAAGTGTCAGAGGAAAACGGTGAACACTCAAAAGAAAAATACATTTGACAATTATCAAAGTATTTTGATCTTTCTCAGAGAGGCAAAGGAAATAACTGAATTTCATTTTCAGGTCCTAAATAAGCCAATATGTTTACTTAAATGGATCAATTAAGCATATAATATCTAAATTTCTCCTCCATTTTATGACTGACAGAATAAATCAACTACTCATTTTAAACAACTTTCTGGTTCAGATTATGCAAATTTACCTGATTTATGAGAAATGAAAAGAGAAACCTTAGGTTGCTACGCTTATCACAATTTCAAACAGTTTTGCCAAAAGCTGTCATTTTGGTAATTCTGGCTCCTCAAGATTTTAAGACATATCCTGAGACTAAAGAAATGACAGGATAGCTCAGATTCTCAAAGTTATTAAAAGTTATTTTTTTCTATGAAAAGAGGATGGGTTAATAAAGAAAGGTATTTCTGTTACAAAGGAAATACTTTCTATATAAAGATCATTAACGACTAATTTAATTCTAGCTTTAACCTAAGATTCTGAAACTTTCATGACTGTGACTTTTTGTTGCCTGGCTGCATGTGTTTAGGTGTCTTAATAGCAAAACTCCACGAGCAAATCCTTTTTTGCGGAGCATCAACACACCCTCGGTATCAGAACTTTCACCATCTCGTCTGCTGCCTCTCTGCTCCGGTCACTTCTTGCCTAGACACTGCTATAGCTTCCTGACTGTCTTCCTGTTTTCACCTTGCCTTTGGATCATTTACTTTTCATCTATCAGCCCAAAGTTCTCTCTCTAAAAGTAAATTAAACCATGACACTTCCCCAGCAAAGCCTCTAATGGCTTCTGAGAACACTTAGAAGAGGAAAAAAAAAAACTTACTGCAGCCTATGAGGAGCTGGCACTTATTTTTTATTTTTATGTTACATGCATTTTCCTTATAATTAAAAGAAGTTTGAAATTTATGAGTAAAAGGTTTTGTTTTTCTTTTTTTTCCAATTTTTGTTGGGCTATAGTTGGTTTACAATGTTGTATTAGTTTTTACTGTAAGGCAAAGTGAATCAGTTATACATAGACATTTATCCCGTCTTTTTAAATTTCCTTCCTGTTTAAGTCACCACAGAGTACTGAATAGGGTTCCCTGAGTTAAACAGAATGTTCTCATTAGTTATTAGTTATACATTATACAGTATACATTATAATGTATACATTATACATTATTATTATTATTATTAGTTATACATTAGTTATTAGTTATACATTAGTTATTAGTTATTAGTTATTAGTTATACATTGTTTCAATATATGTCCATCCAAATCTCCTGATTGATCCCACCACCTCCTTTCCCCACTTGGTGTTCATAATTTGTTCTCTACATCTATCTGTGTCTCAATTTCTCTTTCACAAATAAAATAATCTATAGCATTTTTCTAGATTCCACATATACATGTTAATATATGATATATGTTTTTCTCTTTTTGAGAAAACTTAATTTCACTCTGTATGATAGTCTCTAGGTCCATGCACATCTCTACAAATGACCCAATTTCATTCCTTTTTATGGCTGAGTAATATTCCTTTGTACATAGATACCACATTTTCTTTATCCATTCCTCTGTTGTTGAATATTTAGGTTGCCTCCATGTCCTAGCTGTTTTAAATAATGTGGCAATGAACACTGGGGTGCATATGTTTTTCTGAATTATGGTTTTCTCTAGGTATATTTCCAGTAATGGGACTGCTGGGTCATATGGTAGTTGTATTTTCAGTATATTATCTGATTGTTATCTATGTCTCTGACCTCATCCATCACTGTCTCTCTCCATTTCATTCTATTACATGAGCCTTCTACTACTTCTCGAATGCATCAAATATTTGCTCCCTTTCAGGATTTTGCTCCAGCTATTCCCACAACCTAGGCCACTCTCTGGTTGCAAATCTTCTCACAGCTTCTTCCCTCCCTTCATTTAGGTGGCTCAAAGGTCATTCCTGTGAGAGGTCTTTCAACACACTATCAACCACTGCCTCTCCCTACCTGCCTTTTATCAGGACCTATCTACTTTCTTTCATTTACCACCCCTAAGCTATATTATTCGTTTTACAGTCTCCCTCCACCATTTACTAGGAGCAAGGATTTCTTACTTTACTGGCAGACACTCAGTTCCTAAAACATTGCCTAGTATGTGCTCAATCGTTGTTGATTTAATTGATTAAAACAGGTTCATACAGTTCTGAAAGACATCTTGGTTACTATCATACATAAATGTTCTGTTAAAGGGCATACTATTGTGGGTTGGCCAAAAACCCCCCCCAAAATTTGTTAGGGTTTTTCCATAACATTTCCTGGAAAGACCTGAACGAACTTTTTGGCCAACCCAATATTTATGAGTATTGCTTTCCAGTAAGGCAAAAGTCTAAAGAATTATAAATGGTACAATTTGATCCTACCAGATAGAGTGGCTAGTAACATTTTATATTTTGGCTAAAGACATATATTTCTGAGACTATAGTTAAGATGTTAATAATAATTTAGCTTTCAGATTTTATTAATAACTTTGGTAACCTACATATTTACTTACCTTAAAGTAGAATTCCATTATACTATTCATTTGCATTGAAAATCAGTGGTACTACCATGGTATCACAATGATAGGATAATAAACAGAAGGCACGTAAACATTTGATAAATCAGTCCAAATAATGGTCCTTAATTAACATAATATTATATTTTAACAATATTAAATATTTATATTTTAAATAATTAATGTTTGAATATTTTAAGTATTACAGATAAGGGATAGAGAAAAATAATGTCGAAAAGGGATTTCTGTTAGTAAGAATGGCTTCCCAAAGAGTTTACATATTCAAATCACTTGGGGATCCTTTAAAATTTCCAGTGCTTTGACCACAGCCCCAACAAATTAAATCATAATTTCTGAAGTCAGAACACAAGCATCAGTAGTTTTTGAAGCTCCATAGATTACTCCAATTGCAGATAACCTGGGGAGCATTTTTAAAAAGTAAACTATCACACTGCTCATGAGACAACCTTTTCACATCAACTTGCTTAGTTATTTTCTATGGATACAAAACTATTTTAAAATATGAAACAACTAGCTGATCAACTTTGTGCCATTTTGAAGGTTTCATGAGGGTTTTTTTTTTAATGTTTTGATGATTTGCAAGAATTAATTCACTTTTTCAGGCAGTATTATAACAAATTCAGCATTTTATTCTATGGAACAGTACTCCCTAAATGCTGTGAGTCTAAGAGATCTCAGAGATCTGTTGTCTCGATTTAGGAGACCCATGGCTTATGTAAGCAAGTAAAACAGTTCTGAGATGTTTAGTAACAGAGATATCTTAGATCTCTTTCTTTAACTCAGTGTTTTTCAAATATGTAAGGAAAAAATAACTCAATAAATTTTTTTCTACAATTACACTAATTTATTTCAGGATCAAATACTAAGTATAGGCTTAGTATTCCAGTGATCTCTAGCCTAGATCTCTTCCTTGAATTGCAGGCTGCTTATCTGACATCTCGCTGTGACCCTAACAGACTCTCCAGTCTTACGTGTTCGAAACTCAGTTATACAGCTCCTCTGGCTCCAACTCACTCCTCTGGCCGATTTCTTTGTCTGATTTATTTAACAGATATATACAGTGCTACTCATATGTCAATCAATTTGCAAAGCCTTCATAAATGATAACTGATGTAACACCCAACCACTATTACTATCATCGTTACTTTCATTTTAGAGATGAGGACACTGAAGTACAGGAAGAATAGTTAACTTGTTCAAGAGCACCCTCATATTTCTAAGGTCACAACTCACATAGCCCCTTCCCAGGACTCCTTCCCTAGCTATTTTGTCTACAAGGTCAATTTCTCCCATCTCATATGGTAGCTTAAGTTTCTCTGATCCTTGCTTTTTCATTTTTCTCCTTAGCAGTTACCATTATATACTGTATTTATTGTCTGTCTTCTTCACTAAACGGTAAGTTTTATAATGGCAGGGTTTACTATTGGTTATTGTCAAAGATTTATCCCCAGAGCCTATACAAGTGCCTGCAACAAGTGAAAATTCAATGATGCTAGGTTAAAAGATCTGTTCAATTGATCACAAAATTAGGGTACTGGCAAGTACAACCTGGGATCTGGTAATCAGTGGACTAGAGCATCATAGAATAATAATCAACTTAAAATCTTAAGTGAAGATTATTCACTTTCCCTTAAAATGGTATTTCAAGGATGTATACATGCAATAAGTTTAGTCCAGTCGCTCAGTTGTCTCTGACTGTTTGCAACCCCCATGGACTGCAGCATGCCAGGCCTTCCTCTCCATCACCAACTCCTGGAGTTTACTCAGACTCGTGTCCATTGAGTCCGTGATGCCACCCAACCATCTCACCCTCTGTCGTCCGCTTCTCCTCCCACCTTAAATCTTTCCCAGCATCAGGGTCTTTTCCAATGAGTTAGCTCTTCTCATCAGGTGGCCAAAGTATTGGAGTTTCAGCTTCAGTGTCAGTCCTTCCAATGAATATTCAGGACTCATTTCCTTTAGGATGGACTGGTTG